CATACTGTTCATTGTAGTATTCAAACTCAACTTTTCGTTAAAGTTCATTGAACTTTCAAAATCTTCATTAAAAATGTATGACCGTAATGTGAATGTTATGAATTAATTTATGCATAAATGTATGAATGCACTTTATGAATGAATACTACAAGTTGAACTTTACGGTAGGGGTCAATGAACTTTTCAAGGTCAAATTCTGCCTGTGTGTCCTCTTCGCCCGATTCTTTCCATCAGTTCTTTCATTTCCACTATTCTAGTATTTATATTCGTAATAAGTGGAATTTGGATATTCTTCACTTCAAACTGCCAATTAGCAACATTGCATCGTAATTAATTAATTTCATCTTTTTCTAGTAGTGAATTTTTTGGCGGGAAAACGTGACCTTTTATCACCTGATCTCATGAATGAACTTTATTAATGAATACTACAAGGTCAACTTTACGCTAAAGGTCAATGAACTTTTCTAGGGGTCAATGAACTTTTCAAGGTCAAATTCTGCCTGTGTGTCCGTTGCGCCCCCATATATTCACTACTGACTAGAAATTATTATTTTAATTATTAAACACAAAAAAATTAAACGTTTAAACTAACAAATGACAGGTTTGGCGTTTGGCGGTCTTTCTAATATATTTAGAGGTCAGGCATTCGGCATTGATGCTTGTTGAATGCCATCATTCACATCGGGGTTATTCATGATCCTACTTTTTGTAGGGTTCTATTTTGGCTCCAACGTTTGCAAGAATTCCACCGTCCATCTGTCTGCTGAGTCCCGAAAAAGTTTGATCGCGTCAAAGCAAAATACGAAAATAGCATGATCCACCCATTTTGGTTCGACCGATCATCAACCAAAATACGCTTACATACAACTAGGGGCCTCAAAGAGGCTCATCGATGGAACTGTTGACTGTTGCCTTTCAAAGATCGTCGGGCCGACGATCTTTGAGGGTAACCGATGTGTTCGGGATACATCACAGAGCAGATCTTGAAATTTTCAAGGCATTCCGTGCAGAAATGGCTGAGAAATAAAAGAATTAGTGCCAGTTTGAGAGCCGACTCTCAGTATAAAGGGACTCTAGACTTACCTACATGGTTGATGTTCAACAAACGTGTTGGCAGTTTCGTTTTGCAAACAAGTCGAAAATGGCCGACGTTTGGGAAAGTTGTTTGGCTCATGACGTCATCCGAAGCTCATCATCGACCATGTAGGTTAATCTACAGCCGAAACTAGCGTGATGACGGTTGCTCCCTAATAATTAATTGTCCCTAAGGAATTATTGAAACCCCGAATGTAAAAGCTTCCACCTGTCGCTAGGAGGCCAGTGGAGGGTCTCTTGTCTCTGGGCTAGCGTCCAGACAAACGTCACCTACAAACAGAGTACCTATAATGATGCCGCGACCAGACGCTGAATTTAGCACCTGAATGTGGAAGTCAACAGTCATCGCCCAACGGCTGAAATTTAGCAAATTCGAGTTATTTTCATCCAGATGTGTATCAAATCTACTCGAATAGTTCAGACAAATTCAAAATTGGTCCGATGGTTGCTGAGAATCGTTGCTGGCCGATGACTTCCACATTCAAGCCACATTCAGCTCCCACATTCAGCGTGTGATTGCGGTGTGAGAGAGTATGGCCTCTGGGGTTACCACCTCTGATTGGCTCAGCCATCTTAGGCTGAATGGAGCCCTTAGGACCCAAAAATGGCGGACGCAATAAATTAATGTGATGCAAAATGACTCAAAATGTAGTTTTCTTTGCTTATCGTAACGAGAAATTTACTCAAATGCACTATTCCGACATCTTTACATAATTTTAAGGCTAAAGGCCTAGATACACACGGCGATTAATCGCCGCGATTGCAATCGCGGCGTTTAAACGCAGGTGTATTCGGTCAATCGCCGCGACGGGCGAGTGAAATTCTCGGAATTTCTCCAATCGCCGCGATTGAATCCAAAGTAGGATTCAATCCTACTTTTTGGGCGAGTAGATGCATTTGTTGAGTCCTGTTTATTCTTGATGGATGCGAAATCCACCAGTACATGTGGTCTACATGTGTTTTTGTTCACGTTCTTCTGTCTTCGAGGTGCTCGTCAATTAGTTTTATAGTATGTTTATTTTTACATTTGATGCGAAAATTGTTAAAATTGCAGCAGAAGTGTGTCCGTTCATTAGCCACTTATTATTCAAGAGAGGCACCAGAACTTCAGAAATAGGAAACATTATTCAGTTGAAAATCTTCATCTTCATTCAATTAAAAAAAGGCACTAGTCTTTTGGGCACAGTACTTACGACTATCCTGTTATCAATATGATCAACTAGATAAGATACTGATCATTTTAAGGTTATAATAACATTAACAATTAGCGCTGATCGCGGCGATTAATCGCTAGGTGTATACGTGATCGCACTGATGGCCTCTGTTGATCGTATTGCGTTGAGCGATGCGACCCGAACCAACCCAATCGCGGCGATTAATCGCCGTGTGTATCTAGGCCTTAATCGTGTGCAATTTTTGAGAAAAATTATCTTAGATGTAGTAAGGTTGGCAGCCTGTGCGGTTGGTGATGACCGTCAAAAGTTGGCAATGACCCCCCTCCCATCCACAAAAACCAAAACAAAGCACCGCCATTTTTGGGTCCTAAGCCTCTCCATGGGGCCCAGTGGCCATACTCTCTCATTATAGGTACTCTACTACAAACTAGGGGCCTCAAAGAGGCTCATCGATGGAACTGTTGCCCAGGGATTTAGAGCTGAGGTTTGAGGGAGCATCATAAACGGAGCCGCATCGGCGCGCAAGGCGGAGGCCCGGCGCGGACTTTCATGCCGCGTCGAGCAGTGCGCCTAGAGTCCCTTTATACTGAGAGTCAAGACAATTCGGCTCATGGATGTCACAAACCAAACGGGAATAAAGATTACAGAAATTGAACGTTTTTCGTAATCTTTGATCGGCCCATTCTCAAATGCCTTTCTCCGTTCCTCCTCTCATTCCGTTTGTTCCTTGCCGAACCCGTAATTCCCTGGTCCATTCCAGATTATAATCTTTGCAATTGGTGAAAATGTAATCTTTATTCCCGTTTGTGACACTGTGGAGGCCTAAAATACGGGAACCAATCAGAAATCAAGGTAGATTTACACAGGTATGGACAAGTTGAAAAGAGGGTTATGCAAAACGGCCAAAAAGTGACCCCGCGGGGATTGTACGAAACTTTGTGGGATGATTGTATAGGTCATTTTGGGCCTGCATCTGGCTGCTTTTAGGCGAAAACCGCAGGGAAACCGCGTTGCCATTTTTTAAAGTCGTAACCTTCAAACACCCATAACTTTCGCAAAAATGCAGTTACAGAGCTCGTATTTATACCAAAAAATGCGGAAAATTTTGTTCTATCGACCTACGCAAAGGAAATTTTTATTCGAGTCCACTGTTGCCACGTTTTGGCCATTTTTTTAATTTTCATAATGATTAAAAATCACGTTTTCGCCTAAAAGTGTGTTTGCAGTTGGTGGGGATTGAATAAAAACCTGTCGGAATTATTGTTCGTTCAATTTCGCATCCATTGATATGTTATACTTTTCTGAGAGGCTTAGGGAATCCAAGTTACAGCGATTTAAAAATTCGGCAACACGCCCGACGCCCGATTTTGACGCTCGTTAAGGTACGTTTCGCGACTCCGTGTTGAAGGAGAACGCCTAAATAAAACAAAATTCGAAGAGCCAGTTCATGTTTTACGCTTTTTTGAAACTTTCACGTCATTTTTAGAAATTCAAGTAGTGGTCATTCGTATCTTTTTACTACAGAAAAACTACATCGTGTCAACATATTTTCACGCGACAAATGAAAAACCGGCACAAAAATGGCCACACTCTGTCTATAGAGCATACTCTGTCTATAAAGGTACTCTATGTAAATCCAACTTCGTTTAAATAAAGCATAGAGTACATAGAGTCGTAATGTAAGTGGGTGAGCTGACGCCACTTTTAAGCATTTTCCATGTCCCGAATTCCGAGATTCCTGTGTGACGCCGGGTCACTTTTTCGATACATAATCGATTGTTTGCGATACACGGGTACCCGGCCATCCGATGACAACAACAACAACAACAACGGAGATAGGAATTACAACGTATTCCACACCGCCATTTTGGATCGAAAATGTATCGAAAAAGCGACCCGAACTCGGCGCACACCGGGCTCGGAATTCGTCGAGCAGAACATGGCGCCAGCTCTCCCATTTACATTACGACTCTATGTACTCTATGAAATAAAGAAGCCCGAGTACGGAACTGTGTAGGGGGTACCGTTTGCGGGTATGAAAATAAGCCGGAGTACGGAACTACACCCGATTATTATGATGATTGATTTATGGTTGATTTATTATGTTCGGTTTATCGTTTGTCAAAATTTTGTGGGATTTTTTGCACAATTTTGGTTATACGATATTAATTTTAGCGTTTAAACGCACAAACGTTTGAATGTTAATTTGATTGTAATTTAAGGTGATTCGTCAAGCTCAAAAGAAGTGGTCGAACTGGCATGCGATATATCGCATCTTTTAGGTCAAAAATCTCGGCAGATTTTAAATTTTCAGTAAAGAAAAGGACGATAGCCCCTGCGCATGAGCCTAAAGAATCATTCTAAACCT